TTGCCTAGGTAAGGTCTCTCAATATCTTACCAAGAGAAGCATTCCTGGTATCTGAATCTACTGCAGGTACTAGGAAGAATTTCCCCACTAGTCCTTTCCCCAAGTAATTAATGTTCTGGAAAATCAGAGGATATGAGAGGGAGAGGATCTGTTTGAGACTGAATGTTTTTACACTGGTAGGTCATGAGGTAAGAGAACCACGGAACTGTGCATGATTTTTATTCTGTCTGGTCACAGAGTGAGGGAGCAGCAAAGGGGCTACCCTATTTGAGAACCTGTATAAATAAAGCCAGTGACATAAAGGTTACTGTACAGGAACCAGAATTGACTTGACTGCACCTTCTGGGCTGGTATCCCTAGTCCCAGACGCATATGCTGGCCCTTATACACACAAATGTGTGTATAAGGTGCAAAGTGACCCATGCATGTCCGGTGCACTGCTACTGTACAGAGAGTGATAGTGAGCTAAAATCAGTGGGGGGTATTTGTTTCAAATAATTAACCCTGTCTGTACTGTGCTTGCCTATTTCATTATCACTTATAAAACTAGATGAGCTACTAGTCTGTCCTAACAAAGGGGTAAAGTTCTGAGGACATTGTATGTTCATGAGGGGGCACTCAGCTTGTCCTGAGTCTTTCTATTAGGAAAGACAGAATTTCCTGTTCCTGAAATTGAGAGAATCTTGCAAAGGCCTGCTAAATAGCGACATCTAAGGGCTCATTAACGTGGTTGTGCACAGCCATATGGAGTACACAGCAATGCAGAGACCTACTCCTGGGTGGGACAGGTGCTGTGTGTAATTGCGTGCAGCTGCCTGTACCTTCTTATGGGAGGACACAGATACGCATTAACCCAAATATGTGCAGGTCTGGGTGCCCGCAATTGGACGCACACTGTCTGCATCCAAGTGCGGGTGAGAGGCGGGCAGAGCCAGCTGTCAATCGGCCAGGGTGGATCTCGACAGTATTGTCGGAATGCAGCGTGACTCTGCGCTCTCAGCATATAGAGGGCAATAGCCTGCTATATACTGAGTTTTGAGTCACCGGGGGGCATCAGTATATGTCCTCCTGTGACCCTCAAGAGAACTATTGCCAAAAAAGGTTAGGCCACAGTTCTTTTAACTGTATTTTTTGACTGTACAGTGCATTACCCAGTTGTCTTTAAATCTGCCTGTTTTCATCTAGTGATTGCACACTAGCCAGTGTTGTGAGGGCCCTCCATATAATCCCTCCCTCTCCAGGAAATTCTGTTTTTTTAAAGTGTTCTTAGGTGATCCATGTCTCCTTTATACTGAGGGATGCATGTCGTAGTTTAGTTACCATTATTCCTGCGCTTCTGCATTTTCCTTCACTCAAGATCTTCTGGACGCATACAGCCACAATAATTACCTTGCAGCTTCTGGATCTGGACCCCTCAGCAGTAGCTTTGGGGTCTGTACCCAGACCCAGCTGACCTGAAGCTGTGGGGTCGGCCTGTCGCTTTGGGCACTGGATCCTGCATCAAGCCGTTACGTTGGCATGTGGTGGTGCAGCACGTTAAGTGAGCCACAGGGTGCTATACAGGTTCAGGACAGTGGTGTATCCTGAAATCCACCTCCCTGGAGGAGGGAGTGTGCTTATCCGAAGTAAGCAAACTGAGGTGCGAGTGGGGTTCCCCTATCCTCATCCTCATGGATGGTTGCCATACAGCTGGTGGGCAAGTCCATGTGCTCCCATCCCCCCAATTTGTGGCACTGTGTGGCCTTGTTTTACACCTGCAACAGTGCAGGAATTTGCAGTGTATGCCTAAGACTCTGTAGGGGTCCTTTTACACCTTCCCAGTGTGGTTGGTGGTGGGCAACTTACTACAACTCTACTGTATGTGCCTGCACAATACAGGCAGAGGCAGCAATCCCGATACACCTTGCAGGCTCTGCAAATCCTGGGCATGCCCAGGACAAACAATGGTGCAGCCAGTGGCCACTTTGGCCTGGGGCACATGTGCAGAGACCTGTGCACTTTTGGAATACAGTTCCATCCATGAGCAGAGTGCCTTTTCTTGGTGCAAAGACCACTGCAACCACAAAGGGGACCCTTATTTAACCCTTGAGGGGCCCCACATGGGTACTAACACCATTATGGCAGATGGGGGGAGTACAGGGGTAGCTATCTCCACAGCTGGTAAAGGGCAAGAGGTATTTTCTGATAATTCCCTGGGGGCTTTGTACATGATGGTCTGTCTGATAGCCCTCTGCTAGGCTCACTGCTCTCAGCAAGGAGGAATTTGCAGCTTTCAATGTCCATGGGCAGTTATCCGCCGTATTGGGTGCAGCTAGCTGAATAGGGCACAAGAGTAGCTAGCAGGCTATGTGCTGTGTTAAGGAGATGTATTTCTTGATAGATAGGCCATAACATTATGACCACTGAGAGGTGAAATGAATAACTTAATTTCTTGTTACAATGGCACCTAGGAGTGGGTGGGATATGTTAGCCAGCAAATGAACATTTTGTCTGTGAAGTTGATGTGTTTGAAGCAGGAAAAAAAAATGGCTAAGTGTAACGATCTGAGCGACTTTTACAAGGGACAAATTGTGATGGCTAGACGACTGGGCCAGAGCAACTGCAGCTGGTATGGGATGTCTCCAGTCTATAGTGGTCAGGACCTACTAAAAGTGGTCCAAGGAAGGAAAACCGGTGACCCAGGTCATGGACAGCCAAGGCTCACTGATGCATGTGGGGAGTGAAGGCTGGCCTGTGTAGTCTGATCCCATAAAGCTACTGTAGCTCAAATTGCTGAAAAAGTTCATACTGGTTCCGATAGAAAGGTGTCTGAACACACAGTGCATCGCAGTTTGTTGCATATGGAGCTGCATGGCCACAGATCAGTCAGGGTGCCCATGCTGATCCATGTCTACTGCCAAAAGCGCCTACAATGGGCATGTGAGCATCAGAACTGGACCATGGAGCAATGGAAGAACATGGCCTGATCTGATGAATCACATTTCTTTTTTTGCCTCGTGTGTGTGTGTCGCTTTCGTGGGGAAAGATGGCACGAGGATGCACTATGGGAAGAAAGCAAGCCAGCGGAGGCAGTGTGATGCTTTGGGCAAAGGTCTGCTGGGAAACCTTGAGTCTTGCCATTCATGTACTTTGACACATGCCACTTACCTAAACATTGATCAGGTACACCCCTTGATGGAAATGGTAATCCCTGATGGTAGTACAGCAGGGTAATGTCTTCTGCCACACTGCAATAATAGTTTGAAGAACAAAAACAAGTTCAAGGTGTTGCCTTGGCCTCCAAATTCTCCAGATCTCATTTCAATGGAGCATCTTTGGGATGTGCTGGAAAAGCCACGTCTGCGCCATGGAGGCCCCACCTCTCAACACACAAACAAAGGATCATCTGCTAACATTGTTATGCTGTGGTATCTGGCACCAAAAAGCATTGCCACATGTGCCCCAAGATGGAGACTCTCATAGTTTAGAGTTAGGACCGCACTATATAGATGTGCCCTGGCGCGGCTGTCACATTTTCTGCAGAAGATGTGTATCTAAAACTCTGTTTTTAACCTTAGTGGTGAGACAAGTTTTTTTTTGCATGCTGGCTGGTGAGTGTGCTGGGAAACTTTTTGCTGAGATACCACAGCATCACTTGTGGAGTCCATGCCCAGTCAGGTCAGGGCTGTTTTGTCAGCAAAAGAACGACCTACTCAAAATGGTATTGGTGTATCCCTAACGCTAATACCATGCACCCTGCAAATGATATATAGAGCACATATGGCCCTCTGCTAGAGCCAAAATGGATACTGTGTGTATTCATGCTGCCAGGGAAATGCATAGCACAAGGGACAATTTAATAGAAACCTGCACCCCATGAGAGACACCCCGGAACTTACTGATATCACTACATATGAGAAATTATGTAAAAGGACACACTAATGTGCCAGGAATATATGGAGCATAATAAGCACTCTGCCAGGAACACGTTGAGCACATTGATCATTGTGCCAGATAATTAATGAGCACTTGTGATCACTGCTATGCACATTGGGAAGGCAAATGAGGCACACTGACAGCGATGATGGCCACATCGCACATACTGCCAGAGATCTATTGAGCAAGTGGGACATGCTGCCAGGGTTGCACATGGCAAAACATGTAGGAGGGGAATTTATAAAAAAACTGGAGCAGACAAAAACTTGAGCAGCTGTGCATGGCAACCAATCGGCTTCTTTTCATTTTCAAATCTTAACTGAGCAAAAACTGAAAAGAGAAGATGATGATGGTAGCCATGCACAGCTGCTTTGGTAGCCATGCACAGCTGCTCCAGATTTGTTTGCTTCAGTTTTGATAAATTCCCCCCGTAGTGTACACAGATAAAGGTGAAACATACTAAGCACTATGCCAGGGACTTGTTGAGCAACACCAGGGAAATAAGTTCCTGGGACACCCTGAGGTAAACAAATAAGAGCACACTGCCAGTTCCATGCTGAGTACTGGTATACTTTGCACATTGCATGCTCTGCTACTGATGTAAGAGCATGTGATACTTTGTGGAGGACATACTGAACACATTGAGCCCTATGCCAGGGACATGCTGACTCAATGATGTTCTCTTCCTGAAAAATGTAGGAGCATACTAGGCACTCGGCCAGGGACATGTCGACTATACCAGATTTTTAGTCAGGGCTATGTTCAGCTTATTGGACACTGCAAGGGATATAATGAGCACATAGAACACTGCCAAGCACATGCTAAACAAGTGGAATAACCTACCAAACAAGGAAATACTGACCACATGAGACACTACACCAGGGACATGAGCACATGTGTCTCAGAGTTCCCCGCCCGGCTCCGCCCAGCAACCCACAAGTCCTTGCCAGCTGCACCTACCTGTGTGACAAGTGCAGTGGCTGGGCAGAGAACTCCTAGCTGATTTTATCAGGCTCATTACGGAGCTGCACTGAGGGATTGTGCAGTTTGGACACTCCGACCTCAGTGAACAACAGCAAATGGCAGTGCTTGTGCCAAATTCATGTACCAGTTTGCAACTGCTACATGAACTTGGTGCAAGCACCGACATTTGTCATGCAGATGCGCAACAGCACTTGAAAGAATGGGTTATTCTAAAAGAACAAGATTAATGAAAACTAACCAAGTTGCACTGAATTAGATAACATATTTGTATTATATACATACATATTTTTATTATATACATACGACTCACAATTAACATTTTAGCTGTGATTTTAGAACAGGGTAATTATTTAAAAAAAAAAAAGTTATTAGTGTTTATTTTAAGTTAGAGATTTGGTTTAATATCAGTTCAGAGGAAATACAGTTTCATAGACATATCCTTCATTAGGTAGCTCCCAATCAATAGCAGCATAGGGTAGTAGAACATTGTTCACATTTCTTCAAGTGCCAACCACTGCTTTTAGTTTGTCTGATGCTTAGTAACCAGAGGGAACTTGTGCAGGATTTCTTGGACTTCACCTTGTAAGGCCACAGGCCAAGCTTTTATTTCTCTTCGTAGGCACTCTGCCTTTTGGATCAGAATCTCCTGGCGGTGCTGCAGGTCGGCCAAACGCTGCTTGTTTTCTTCCATCTTCTGCACCGTGCCCTGTATAATACTTCCAGAGGAGTCGCATGCTTTTGACGTCTGCTGTATTATATGAATGATCTCCGCCTCTGTGAGCCCAAGAGATTTAAAATTCATAGTCTCAATGTAAGAGGATGCGGAACACTAAATAGAAAAGAACATGATTATTATCCATAGGGTAGTGGCGAATACTGTATACAACTTGTGTATATCTCCACATTTATCACTTGATGGATATAAACATTCCATAAAAGAGACTCTGAAAAATCAGACAGTAAAAGTACCAAAATCACATTAAAAGAAAACACTAGAGCAGACAAAAATTTGTAGCAGTTATTTAGGTAAACAAATTAGTCAGCGTTCATTAAGGCTGGGTTCACACCTGGGTGTATGGAATACGCGCGTCTGCCGCACGTTTTTACTGAGATTTGCGGTAAAAGAAACGCGCGACAAACAGGCTGTATCCTTATGGATACGCGCGGCAAATTACGCCACAAAGAAGCTCCTGTACTTCTTTGGGCGTAGGGCGTTTTTCAGCACGTTCCTACGCGCTGTAAAACGCCCAGGTGGGAACCATGCCCATAGGCAATCATTGGTTTTCACATGTTGAGCGTTTTACAGCGCGTAGGAACGCGCTGTAAAACACTCAGGTGTGAACCAGGCCTTAATGATTTCTTGTCATGAAAGAGTTAAGCCCTCCTGGCAATGTTCTAATTTGTTCCAACCACTGTCAATTTTACTGGACAGCTTGGTCTGCATGTAAATGTGGAAAGAAATATAAAAAAAGCCATATGAAATAAAAGTAACTCATACTGAATACCATCATTACAGATAGAGTTATCAGATTATGCTGATTTACACAATAGTGGTCCTTATTAGAAAGAATGACTTCCATTTAGTAATGTCACAAACCATATACGGTAAACTAAGGAGAAATCACAACAGAAAAGGCATATTACTATGTCATTTAGAGCAATTAGGTTATTCTCCGTAGTGTCTGCAAATGATACAAGATTATCCCTCGAGAACAAAGAAAGGAGGTTCCATCTGTTACGCAGGAAACCAGATTTATAAAAAAAAAATCCGTTAAGAAGGTATCATGTGGCACAGAACACTCAGATGCTTCTGACATCTAGGAGCTGAGGGTCAGGTGAAAGGCCTGCTGAGGTCTGAACAATGCTGCCCTGTCAAACACTGAAGCTCATGCCTTTCAGTCCTAAATAACGGGGGGGAGAGAACAGTATCAAACACACTGAGGGGAATTTATCAAAAGTGGGACAGAACAATCTGGAGCAGTTGCCTATGGCAACCAATCAGCTTCTCGCTTCTGTTTGTTCAGTTAATGTTTGAAAATAAAAAGGTGGATGCTGATTGGTTGCCATGACCAGGTGCTCCAAATTCTGTCTGCTTCGATTTTGATAAATTCCCCTCAAAGTCCTTTAGTTGTTTAAATTCTTCTTAAAAAAGGAGAAGTATGGGGTTAAGTCTTTTCCCCATAGTTCTCCTCAGGGTAACGGGAGGACACAAACTAGCGTCCTCCCGTCACCCTAGGCTCAGTATACCGCGAGCTGTAGCTCGCGGTATACTGAGAAGCCGCAATTGTGCCGGGATCCGCCCAGCTGCGTGACTGACAGCTGTACCCGCCCCCTCACACCACAAACAGGGCATTCTGGCCCTATTTGGATGCCAGAACACACTGGATCACATTCCGCCTGGCCCCTGCGTTCAGGGGCGTGGAAGTGCATTAAAGTCAATGGCACCGCAGCCACGCCCCCCCAGCTGCTGTGCAATCACCCGAACGTGTGGCACATCAATGCCTGCCAATTTTTTTTTTTACCGCACTGGAACGCAGGCATTGATGTGCCATGCGTTCGGGTACAGTCGATCGCACTGGGGCGGGGCGCATGTCTGCGGTGCCATTGACTTCAATGCCCCCTCCCGAAGGGAGCTGGCCGGGATGAGATCCAGTGCGTTCTGCCACCAAATCAATCTCTAAAAAGGAAAACTTTTGATTTGGCCAGGTTTCTTTGGAAATTGGTATTAAAAGAAGGCAATTTGGGGAGTGACTTTAGACAGTTATCACATTGCTGTGATAAATAATCAATTATTGGACGATTGGCATTTTCTGTGCCTACCCAGGTCACTGGGGCGCATCTCATCAATTATGCTAATGTGGCTTCACTTAAAAACTTGTGCAACCTATTGTGACGTAGCAGAATGCTTGTTCAATATGTATTGAATAAACTTTACTTATGACAAGCACACGAATCTCTGTTCCTGGTAATCATGAGGTCTGGTATTTCCGTCAGGACACTATGCAGGACATAAAAGGATTCCTTGCAGAATAAAGCTGCCAGGTCAGACACTCATCTATCCAAGGTGATAGTAAGAAGGAAAACTACCTTGAAAGTCAGAGCACAGAGAGGAATGTCTCTAAAAATGTTTTAAAGGGGGCACCTGCAGCACCAAAAAAAGGACCAAAAATTCAATACCCACCGAGTTACAGGGCATTTGACCAGGGAACCACATGAGAGAACATAAAGGGAGGTCTTGATCATAGAGTTCAAAGCCAGTTGTTTCAAAAAAAAAAAAACAAATAGCAAAAGCAGAGACCTGGTCCTTGATGGTACCAAGGACCAAACAGTAATCCAGACCCAACTGCATGAAAGAAAGGATCTATTCCAGTGGTGGCGAACCTTGGCACTCCAGCTGTGCCAAAACTACATATCCCAACATGCATCTGCCTCTAGGAGTTATGTCTGTGGCTGTCAGAGCCTTGCAATGCCTCATGGGACTTGTAGTAGTTCCAAAAAAGCTGGAGTGCCAAGGTTCGCCATCACTGATCTATTCCATGGAAAACTACTGGAGTGAAAGCCTCTCAGCTCACACAAAGCTAGGTACACCTTTCACTTCTGATGACACCTTGGGGTAAGTACACTTCTAGCCTTCCGCATATCAGGGATTTCAGAGGTGCCTCTTGGAACTTGGGCTTCAACGCCCATTATATAGACGTAAAATCCAGCAACCGAGAAGTAATATTGTAAATTCATCCTATGCCTATGGTGTACATCCCTGGCATTGATCGGCTGTCAAAGCTGGAACATGCTGTTCTGCCCAGGACAAGATTTGCTTTACCTCCTGCCACAGTGAGACTTCTTGTTCCTTCCTGAAGGTTTATGTACACCATCTACATGGCACTGTATCTGAATGTGGAGAAAATGGCCTGAGACTAGGTTGGTCCAATGCAGGAAAGACCGCTAAATTGCTCAAAGCTCCAGGATGTTTATTGCAAGATGTCATTTAATCAATGATGAAGTTTATTGCACAGACAGAGTAGCCCAACAGCCATGATCAGGAGCTTAAAAAACAACATGGTGAGGAATAAATGCCCACACTTTAGAGCCACAATAAAAAGCCTGGTTCTTTGTGTTGAATAAATTGGTCTCTCCAGAGACAGGACAGACTTGTGCTAGGTTGACAATGTCATGTTGCAGATTCTGTGGAGCTGGGCACACAAAACTACCTCAAAAAAGGAGGCCATCATCAGACCCCAAGACTCTCATGCAGAGGTGGAGAGTCAGACAGCTCCTGGTCTAAAGCTTCCCGACCAAAGACTGGAGAGTTTGAAGTTTCTCCAGGACAAGAAGTAGCCTTGTGTACAAAGTGTCCAGGACCAGGCACACATATTCCAAGAGATGGGTTGGAGTCCACAGCAATTTTCGAAGGTTCAGGATTTTAACCTTTGCAACATCTGAGCAGTCAGAGACACAGCGTCAACCAGAGCCTTTCACCAAATGTTTCCTTAAGAGAAGGTCATCCAGATAGCCCACAATCAGGACGGCCAAGTTAGGAGGGCCAACATCAAACCCAGCATTTTGGTGAACACCTGAGGTGCAGAGAACAGGCTGAATGGAAGGGCCCATAAACTAGCAGTGCAGGGGGCCCATAAACTAGCAGTGCAGGGGGCCCATAAACTAGCAGTGCAGGGGGCCCATAAACTAGCAGTGCAGGGGGCCCACCACAAACTATTGGAAGGACCGATTCGATGGGAACACGCAAGTTAGCATCCTTTATGTCCACCAAGGCCAGAAAGTCCCCTTAATGCAGATGTCATTGATACCATCTAGAATTTTTGGACATGAACGCAAGCTTTTAAGGCTTGAGGTCCAGAATGGAACAAATGTCCCCATTGGGCTTGGGAACAGTGAACAGGTTGGAGTAAAACCACTGAGAGCCATCCATAGCGTGGACTGGGGCAATGACTCCTTAATCCAAGAGACTAGAGAGTGCACAATGGAGAATGACCAGGCACTGAGGAGACAAAGTTTGAAGGTGAGGAAGAAAGAAAGAAAGAAGAATGTTGGGAACTAAACTTGAGCATATCACCCTGGGACACCACCTTTTGCACTCAAGCATTGGTCACTTGGCAGACTTGCCTTACCCATGTTTCATGGGTGGAAGGAGAGGCAAGCTTGGGGGTCCCGAAGTGAAAGTCAAGAGCATACAGAAGAAATGGGGACGTTACTGAGAAACAGTGTCTGTTTCTTAGGCTTCTTTCGCTGAGGAAGGTGGGTACTCCCAGTAGCAAGCTCGATGATAGCATCCAGAGTGGACTTGGAGACATTATCTCTCAAAGGCAATGTGGAGCACACACCCCCCAATCTAGAATCAGACATATTGCAGCCGCAAGTTCAGTAAGCAACCTACGGGCTTCATTCAAGGTAGAAGACTAAACCTTGAGTACTCACAGAACCTGGACAGCTGGTAGGGAATTCAAGACTAGAGGGCCATGTGGCCAGAGGCTACAAAGTGTCTTGTAGCCGGAGCAGCAGCAGGGAGATGTATGTATATTATGTACACACACACACACACACAGCATTTAAAAAAAGGAGAAAAAAAAAAGATTAAAAAAAAAAAAGGTTAACTAATGATTTGACCCAAAACCACGATAATTTCAAATCAAAATTTAACATGGAGAAATACAGACGCTGCAATTGCTGACCTTCTAAAATGCTTCTCGACCCCATAAAAGTAGGATTGCAAAAGCAGATCAGAAATAGGTCAACTGCACCTGTCAAAGAATTCTGAATCTCACATTTTAAAAAATGCACTGCATTTGCAACCCAAAGCCTATGAACACTGGTCCTGACCCAGCTTGTTAGATACTCACAAAGGTTGTAAACCAGTAGGCACACTTCCCTGTCATTAGTCTCCTGGGATTGCAGAATCTTGTGATATACTTCAAATTAGTTAAAAGGTGAGGTGGATTTGCCTTAATTGTAATGTAGATAAGGCCAGAAATTAGGTCATCAGTGGTGGCTGGCTCCTTTGTAGAAACATCTATGGCTTTGAAAAGGTGGTCACAAGACTTTGTCACACAGGCCAGCTTGTCCTGTGGGGCTCTCTTGGAATCCATCTCTAATAGAGCTACAAGTAAAGGAGAAATATGTTACTCTTAAAAACGTACTTTACAGGCACTAGGGTGGAAAAAACAAAACAAAAACACAAAAGTTGCATAAAATAACGGTAAATGTAAATATGAGCAAATTTATATCTACTTTGTCCATCATTTAGAGCTGACTGGACAGTGATCAATTTTCACCAACAGACCAATATAAAACAATGACATGTAGACAAGTAGGTTAACAGGATCTTCATATCACCCACTCAGCATATGATCACTGGCTGAGTAAATACAAGTCAGTCACTTGCCAGGGATATTATGGAAGTCAAGGAGGAGGAAAAATATACAATATCATTTTAAATAAAATTCTCTGCTAAAATGTCCATGTGACCAAGAACACTAAAAATCACTGGTGTACAGATGTAAAATGTATAGAATTGCTCAGAAAGCCTTCTAGAACAGTGTACCCTTGACCCCATGTTATGTTACGTTCTCTGCAAAAACCAGCTCTAAAACCAGCTCTAAAACCAGTGTTCTATTTACATACACCCAGTAGTAAATAACTACTGCCATGTTATAATACAATAGAGTGCATGATTTAAACGTAACCATAACTCTATGGCCTTTATATAATGACACAGTGAAAAGAGCCATGATACCCACAGCACTGGAATTTCCGCATCTTTGACCAATTACAGAAGAATTTTGTAGTATCCCATGTGTTTCCTATTGGTTATGCTTTCTGATTTTATAAAGAGAAGCCTGCTCTCCTTGACTGCTGTTTCTAAGTTACATGTGACCAGCACAGTTTGCCCACATGTAGCACTGTTTCAGCACTCTTAGGCCCCATTCCCACTGAGCGATTTACCGCACGATTTTTGCAGCGATATCGCTCATATTTCCACACGATATCGCTCTATGTAGCTTCTATGTATCGCTCAATATCGCTTGTAGCTCGTCGCTCCTACACGACCCTTTTTTCGAGCGACTTTGCTCCTGATTGCATACAGTCCAATAGCGACAAGTCGCTCAATATCGCTCATATAAAATTGCGTGGGGAAAAAAAAAAAAAAAAAAAAAAAAAATCGCACGATTTTCATGTCGCTCAGTGTGAATGGGGCCTTACAGCTAGATCCACTTTAAATGGATTAAGCAGGCATTTGGATGGAAGGGCAGGGGTATAAAATTACAGTACTCAGATTTTGGGCAAAATAACCTAGAGCCAAGATGGCAGTGCACTAGGATGCTGAAGTAAATTTTGAGTCAATGTAGATGATGACTGCTGACGTTGGCATCTGTAATGCAAAACTACAGTAGTTAATGTGCCCCAACATAAATGTAGCTCACATAATCCGAAGCTGGCATGGCAGGATCTGTTCAGTACAACCAACAGGTAAATATACAGACATGTTCATACCCCTACTTTCCCTAATGCCTGCCTAACTGATTAGAACAGATGTATCCTTCAGGCCCCGTTCACATTGAGCGATTTATCGCGCGGTAATTCCCGCGATATCGCAGCTATTTACCGCGCGATATCGCTCTTCAATGCTTTGCAATGGGGCAAAGGGTCCTGCTGTCGCGGGTCGTGTGTCGCTACAGCAGGACCCTTTTTGGAGCGGATTTTGCCGCGATTCAATGTTTTTTGATGCAAGCATTTGTGCGATATTGCGCAAAATGCAAATCGCGCGACAAACACGCGATATGCAAATCGCTCAATGTGAACGGGGCCTCAAGTGTAGGTTTAAGTCTGGAAGGCAATGTACAAGAGTTTTTATAAGAAAAGGGAAAAATGAAAAAAAGAGATTTAAAACTGTATTTTTGAAAAATAAGGAAGGCCTTTCCTTTGTAACAATACTTTCTACAGACCTGTAACAGCACTGACAATGTGATCATTGACTTCATCATCATGTTCACACAAAGAAAACTGAAGAATCTTAGGGGTAACCCAACTCAGCGACCTAAACAAAAAAAAACCTCTATATGAATTACTCACATCAACAAAGCAGACACATAGAGAACATGCTGTAACTGACTGTTTTGTTGACTTCCAAAATGAAATTATATGCACTTACTAAGGGTCCCTGGATGCTCGCAGTAAATCAGCAAGATTCAAGTTACTGCAGCTTACTCCCATTTATCACAAAGCTATCTACTTACAGATCACCCATTTCACCATCTGGTTTGCTTTCCATTGCCTCCAGCAAAAACAAAATAAAATCAATGCCTATTAGGATCAACAGTCATTCTCTCAGAATAAAATACCAAAGGCCTTTAATACAGAGTGATGGCCGGCTTACCTAATGTGATTCTGAAGTGAAAGATCTTTTTGCTCTTCATGTGGACCATCCATAGAGAAAACAGACTTGTAGAGGCGAGTCATGACCAGTTTCTCAATATTATCCAGTAACTGGTCTTTTTCCTCTGACGTATCTGGAAGAAAGACTTGATTACAGCAGGTCTGTTTTACTACATGAAAAATCATTGATAAAGTGTATATAAACTCAGGCACTAAAAATCTCATGTTCCTACGTTTGTAAATATACGACATTACTCGAATGTATATGTGTTATGTGTATTCTGTAAAATGTTGGCTGAAACTGAAAAATAAAGAATTAAAAAAAAAAAAAATCTCACATAAGTTTTGATTATCTTTGGGTTTGGTTCTTCTCCCACCACCCACCTTTTCCTTACTTTAGCTACTCATGAGCAGAAATAGCATTAATTCCTATGAGGATAGTTCAAATCTACGCAATGCAATTCAGTGAGCTTTAAAACAAATAGGTAAAAGTACATTTGCATCATGGAATTTCTTTAGTTTGATTTTTCTTGCTTTGAATAACATATATGCAAATGTACACGTTACCGCGTTTACATAAGGTGTGAGAAGGCCCACATTTTGTAAAAATCATATGTAGAACCTAAACAGCAACAACAATTTTTTAATTCAGGACAGTGTAAGTTTAAATTCGAACTGCTGGTAGGGATGAAAGGCAGGCCCCCTAGAGGTGTATGCATGTACTTTCAGGTATCTTCCAGACCTGGGGTGCTTAGATTTGCCAAAATTAACATTAGCTCCAAAGACAGAGTTCTGGCCCACCCCCTTCTGCATACCAACTCAATATTGGTTCTTCCATTTGATGTGTGACCTTATTGGCCAATAGAGTTCTGTTAAATAAGTCTTTATGATAAAACTATACATTTGTTTCTAGTGCCAGTGTTACCTTAGAGAAACAAAAGGAGAACAGCCTGAAAAATTCAGCCTGATTGCTAGAGCCTACACCCACCCTGCTTCCATAAATGGCCAGGGGTGTTTGATGCAGTGACAAAAAAGGAGAGCGCCCACTCCATGTGAAGGATCGTTTAATAATTTGCTTTAAAAAAGTAGCAATGTACTCACAAGAGAAATGCGACACAAGCGTATTCAATCGTTCCCCTGGGACACACCCTCAGAGGGTTCTGAGGAAGGGGGCGTGCCCCAGAAACACATTAAACGCTGCCACTCACTGCTGGGAGACGACTTCGGTTGCGAGTTGACATGGCTGCGCTGTGGCTTCTGATGGGCGATAAGCCTCCTGTGAGGGGAACCATTGAACACGCTAGTGAGTGCATTACTACCTTTTTAAAGCAAATGATTAAACGATCCTTGACATGAAGTGGGCGCTCTCCTTTTTTGTCATTTCATAGATTTTTTTTTTTTCATATTAAATGTTTATTAAAGATTTTCAAAATATAACAAAAAACACACATACAATACAGTAAGCATACATTAAGACAATCACATTACATACGATATCCAAGGTAAAAGGGGGGACAAGAGTACCAGCATTTCTTAACTGCGGCAGAGGTCATTTCATAGATGTTAAGGCTCCCTCCCAATATCGGTCAGAACCCTAAAGAATCTGTAGATTTCTCAAATGTGAGGAGCAATAACCTGCCTGATGTTCAAGGTAAGCTACCATGTTCATGACAAAGTTACAACAGGAAGTACAAAACAAATTAATATAAAATATATAAATATGAGAAAAAAAATATAATATAGATAAATAATATGAGCATATGTTGTCAGGGAAATTACTCACCAGGGATGTGGGCCCCAATCTGTTTATATAAATTCTGAACATCTTCTGCCTTTTTATCCACTGTAAGATTCTGCAAAAAAACATTAATTCATTATTACTACATCTTATGGTAAACATGACACCTTCTCCTAGACCCCTATCTACTGTTCATATGACA